CAGGAGTAATCCAAGGTTTCTCATCAAGGACACACCATGAAAGTCCAACTATAACTCTGTTGTGTCAAGCTATAAACCATATACCCAAGAACACACCATGAGGATCCAACTATAACTCTATTGTGTCAAGCTATAAACCATATACCCAAGTACACACCATGAGGATCCAACTATAACTCTGTTGTGTCAAACTATAAACCATATATTTAAGGACACACTATGAGGGTCCATCTATTACACTGCTCTATCAAACAATAAACCACATACTCAACGACACACCATGAGGGTCCATCTATTACACTGCTCTATCAAACAATAAACCACATACTCAACGACACACCATGAGGGTTCATCTATTACTCTGCTGTATCAAACTATAAACCACATACCCAAGGACACACCATGAGGGTCCATCTATTATTCAGCTCTATCAAACTATAAACCACATACTTCAGGAGTAATCCCAGGTTTCTCACCAAGAACACACCATGAAGGTCCAACTATAACTCTGTTGTGTCAAACTATAAACCATACATGTATATTTAAGGACACACTATGAGGGTCCATCTATTACACTGCTCTATCAAACAATAAACCACATACTCAACGACACACCATGAGGGTTCATCTATTACTCTGCTCTATCAAGCTATAAACCACATACTCAAGGACACACCATGAGGGTTCATCTATTACTCTACTCTATCAAGCTATAAACCAAATACTCAAGGACACACCACAAGGGTTCATCTATTACTCTGCTGTATCAAACTATAAACCACATACTCAAGGACACACCATGAGGGTCCATCTATTATTTTGCTGTATCAAACTATAAACCACATACTTCAGGAGTAATCCCAGGTTTCTCACCAAGGACACACCATGAAGGTCCAACTATAACTCTATTGTGTCAAGCTATAAACCATATACCCAAGAACACACCATGAGGGTCCAACTATAACTCTGTTGTGTCAAACTATAAACCACATACTCAAGGACACACCATGAGGGTCCATCTATTATTTTGCTGTATCAAACTATAAACCACATACTTCAGGAGTAATCCCAGGTTTCTCACCAAGGACACACCATGAAGGTCCAACTATAACTCTATTGTGTCAAGCTATAAACCATATACCCAAGAACACACCATGAGGATCCAGCTATAACTCTGTTGTGTCAAACTATAAACCATATATTTAAGGACACACTATGAGGGTCCATCTATTACACTGCTCTATCAAACAATAAACCACATACTCAACGACACACCATGAGGGTCCATCTATTATTCTGATCTATCAAACTATAAACCACATACTCGAGGACACACCATGAGGGTCCATCTATTATTCT